TACACCCTCAATGTGTATGAGCGTACTATGTGTCTTTAAAGGCGAACGTCACCCTCCTCCCCCTCCTTCCAGCACGTACGTTCCCCCACTGGGGTTCTCCGATGTACGTCTTGCCCTGGGCATAATATATATTCTCACGATGCAGAAAATGTTCAATTTTCATACATAATATGAGGCATGCCGTTGCTGGACAACGCCACCATGTGTTCCTCGAGTATTCAACAAAGCACACATCACTTATTACCGGGAAGCTCTTCTTCAGAGACCGCTAATCGTGGAAGAAACTCGCGAGTTTTTTCATTATACCGCGATGTAGAATGCACGCCCGGAGCGTTCTATTCTCTGAACTGAACTGATTCGGTTCGCTTTTCTTTCGAATCTCGCCAACCGGTTATTGAACTAAGAAGCTGTTGAGGGCTCCGATAAAAGGCAAAGCAATCGAGTGAGAGATAAAGGGCATATGCTATCAGATCACTTTGAAAATTTCCGAGCCGTAGTCACCGAGTAAAGCTATCATAGAAACTGAGAAGGTGAGAATGCGGTGGGAATGCAGGTGAAAAGGGGATAACGGGAGAACATATCGGTTTAGATTCTCCCGTGCTCGTCCCTGTTCTGCCGCGGTGGTGGAGTCTCCAGGTTTTGCGAGAGGAAAGGAGTCCATCTGCAGTGTTTCCTCAAGGATTCGGAAATGTATAGAGAAAAAAATTGTTGATAAACTTTAGTTGATTGGATTCAGAGAAGGACACTCTGGGCTGGAGGGCTGAAATTCAAGGTGAGTGGCGCCTTCACCTAAACACCTACATCTCACTTCGAAAGGAATTATTATCTTATTGTGAGCTTTGTCATAGTGAATGATCAGCATACCGGTTTTGTGAAGCAGACATATGTGTAGGCTATGAAAATCGGGACTTGAGCGCTGCAGGTCCCTCAGGCCTCTGTGAATTGAGCGAGAAATTTCAGATCGGAATCGCGCGGTCACCAACTACAATTCACTTACTTCCATTTCAAACGCAGGAAACAAGGGAAATGAGGGGAAGCATATGCAGATTGTTCTCTGTTCATTCCCACTAAATCGTCCAATTATTAAATTATCGCGTTTAACTTTCGAAAAGTTCAAACTGGTTTGTTGAGACTGAAACCAGTGGCAAAGATATTTCTATAGCCTTCACTTGCCTATCATTGAGATTGACAGCATTTGAATGTTCTGTGAGACTCCTCGTTGTTGTCTACCTTAGGCATCGCCTCAATTTTCTCAAACTGTCATGAAATTTTTCACAGATTCAATAGCTAACCCTCCTCCGTCTTCTCTACTGTACTATCTTACTTAGACGTTTATGTATGAATTTACACTTTCTTTTTCGGATACATTTCACGTATCACTAACGCGATGTAACTCTCAAGAGCGACACTGACGATGTTTAAAGTCCATATCTGACGGCAACAAGAGGAGTAACTGCGAGAGTGAAGAGGGTCCAAATGAAGGAGTGGCAGAGACTTGTGTGTAACAAAAGAGTAGGCGGAAAGAGACGGTCGTCGGGAAACCCCCTCATGTCGGATATGGATAACAGACTGCGGCGACATGGTGTGTGCTTGTCACGTTCAGCATTCGCACACGAAAGTGATTCCACAGGGACTGTGCCGAGTCGACCAACTACTCAATTGCAGGTCGCCGCAGTGAGGATGTCCTCACCGACACCTTGGTTGTGCAGTTGTTATCTCATGGTCGTAGCGATGAGCAAGGGGAAGCGGTTCTCACCGCTCCAAGTGATCTGAGCCGCAGCGTCGTGTGAAAAATAACCTAGCAAATCTAGGCCACGACACATTATAACTGGACCAAATGAGCATTGGTGCGAATTGAGCACTAGTGCGACTCGACACCAGTTGCGACACCGTTTTTGCCAATTTCGCTCCGTTTATGATAAGCTGAACCTTATCCTAGTCAACCTCCAAACTGTGCAAATTTATGGTAAGGGGACATGGGTCTCCTTGAATGAAAAATCATTGTCGTGGCAGGCCTACTCGCGTGCGAATGCAGGTTAGTATTTATGATTAACTCCTGAATGGTTGTGAAGAGGGGCTATACCATCACTTTGCATCCAGCTGTTTTTAAAAAGAGAAACTGGAAGCCTCAAGGAATTCCTAGAGTCCCTCGAATCAGTTGAAAATTAATCGATGCGTGCGTGGAAAGATAGTATGGGTCTCTGAAGATTGGTCCCAGTAGGCTCGAGCAGTCATACAATTATAGATGAACTGTATCGCTATTTTTCGAGAATGGAAAAATTTCCAGTGAGAAGCGCGATGCATTCATCCAAAATAATTTCGATATATCTTAAAAATACACCTCGCTACCATATAATAATTCCCAGAATTGGAAGCGATTTTGCAAAAGGTAGAGATTTTGACCTATCAAATCGTTGGTAAGGATGACACGCCACTATGCATCATTACGAGGGAGTTCTTGTGAGATGCTGTGTTCATTTTTCGGAAAAATCAAAAAGTATCCAGTTTAATTTCCATCGGGTTGTCTTCATGATGAGGAAGAATTGACTGATTTCTGTGTTCGAGACGAGGAATAATTGCAGTTCGTCTCAAGAGTGAAACCGCTCAAAACGTGGACTTCCGTGTGCGAGTAGTGCGAATATCAGTCTATGAAGATAGCGTAGTGCTCACTTTCACACCGCCTTTCGAAAACGTCCCTTGCAGCTGCTGTAGATTTCGCCTGTAGCAGTCCCACCAAAACAGAAATATTGAAAACGTATTCCAGAAAAGGAATGAAAGCTAAACTCTATGCAAACCAACTAGAGGGCACCTTGTTCCCCGTCTAGAGTACCGACATTGTGAGGCAAAATGGCGCTATTCGGTTTAGGGGGAGCATTTCGCATCTTCGCTAGTTTCTTTTGCTAGCTCCTGTTGAATTACATGTTTCATGTTGACACTTTTAGACTCTTGTCAGTTTTAAGTTCATGCTATTGCATAGCTTTAACCTCGCGCGTCATCTGGGCAGTTGATGCGGTCGTCAACGGGCCGCAGCGCGTGCCAGGAACTATTTGCTTTTTCCAGGCTAATTTAGTCATTTTTTCCACCTTGTGAAGATAAGGAGCTGCTAATCTGGGAAAAAGTAGCCAAAACAGTGAAAAGTTGGAAAAAATGACTAAATTAGCCTGGAAAAAGCAAATAGTTCCTGGCACGCGCTGCGGCCCGTTGACGACCGCCCTAATCAACTGCCCGGATGACGAGGGTACAAGAATGCCCGGGAATTCCTTGGAAAGCCACGGCTGTGATCGGTGGGAACCAGCATCAGCAAAGTACCCCAACCATAACCTAATTGCGCCTGCAAGGCTCAGTTGCTAATGATCTGGAAACATGGGAAATAATTCCTAATGGGAAAGCCTCAAAGTAATTGTAATAGCGAGCAAGTTTATGCATCTAGGGAGATCCACTCATTCACACCTACCCCTTTCGCCCTTATCCTTCTGCCACCTTTCCGATCACGAATCGTTGATAGGTCATCAATTGATACGAAAACTTGAAGGGAATCAGCTGGGGGAAGTGAGCGTTCCAGTTGATTACTATTATTACTTTGTGCGGTCATGAAGACAAGGTGTACACTCATTTTCAAGTAGTTCGAATTTTGAGCGTGCAATCAATCTCTTTGTTACAGAATCACAACGCCATTTTGTTCTTCCGATCTCGCAGCCGCAGTTGCTGCTGAACTGACCTTATAGACTGTTTCGAACAAGAAGAGAACATGATAAGGAAACAGTGTCGTAATATTTTGGCGCGTATCAGTGTTCTCTACATGGTGAGCGATATTTTGGATGTAAATGGATTTGGAAGGCTCTTCCAAGCAAGACTTCTGACTAGGAAATGGTTTCACGTTGTGAGCTTCGAATAGAGAACTAGTTAGGTCGGTGAAGTTTGGAATACTTGTTATAAGCACAATAAAATTTTCCGCGGATGATGGGATGCGTCATTGAGTCTCGGTTTGGAGCCCCACCAGCCCTCTACAGTGTGTTGAAGCCGATAAGCGAGGGGTGGAAAACGACTGATACGAAGTATCGGTATGATATTGCTCCTATCGCTTGCTGGAAAAAAAAGAGAATACGTCGCTGGCCGTTCGCTCAGCCCACTCTCAGCTCCACACGCTCATCCGCAGCGAACAAGACCTATGAAAACTGAATAAAACGATAGGTGTGAACTTCAGAAGGCGGATTATATAGGTTGCTTCAGCAGCTCACGACATCGCTTAAGCGCACATTGCCCCCTTGGACCTTGCCATCTGAAAGCTCCTTCAAGTTTTTCTCCCTGATGGATTTATATTTGTTGCGCGTAGGAGGTCGCGATTTCGCCCCTGGAAGACAATTTCCTTAGCACAATTCGAGAATTGAACTGTTACAGTCGAGGCAGTTCCACAAGTAATCGGCTCTTCAGGCTGTTTGCGTAAGATTAACAAAGGTCGCCACCTGTTTTTCCCTTCAACTCGTGGGGTCCCCTAAGCCAAAAAATCAGATGAAAACGGACGGCTGCCTTGCACCAAAACTCGGCGCGCCCTTGAACAAACTTCGTAGCTGACTTTCGGACGGTCACGGTGACTATACTATGTTAGCAACAGAGCATTACAGCATTGCAAACTTTGACGGCTCATATTGAATGACTCACGAGATGTACCCTCCTTATCCCTGAGCTAGAGTAGGCGTGGCATTTGAGCATGGCACGGAACTTGGAATATTCAAGTCTAGGACAACTGTCATCTTGCTTTCTGTTGTTGGATTGCAGATCATTGACAGACAGTCGGTGTCAAGATGAAAATATCTCACCAGAAGCAGTAGACAGCTTCAATTTAAGTTCGCATGACATGGGCACGCCTACTCAATTCAGGAGAGTATATTAATAGGTGGGAACAACCGAATCCAGCAATTGTCCAACTGAAACTTAAAACCATTTCCTGGTAAGTCAGTATTTTGGAAACTATGGGCTAATTGTTGTATTTTAAGGTACTCATGAGTTCGCTCGCTCAAACGGGTACGTAAGTTACCAACAAGGCAAGGTTGTGATATTCTTCCTTTTAACTTTTCGAACTTTTTTGGTGTCTCACAAGGGAGGTCTCTTGTCATGGAACGCTGTCCAAAGGGTTTTTTTCCGTATTTTGATCGGAAGCATAAATGGTCCACGATGGGAGTATCAGAAAGTCTGAACACTGGTTCGCTGGTTTTGAACCCTCATGGTCATAAAACTTTGTAGTCATGTAATTTGTATCTCTCTGCGTTCGCTTATGTCTGAACCTTTTACTCCTTTTACCCCAACAAAAGATGTTCGATTTACGCAAAGTCCTCCTCCGAAAGAAAAGGATAGCCAAGTTTGTCTTGAACCTGCAGAAACTCCACTGCTACTTGGAATTCCCATGAGAACGGGGTAAACTTTTATGGTTCACGCATGCTCCCCTTCATAGCACAACAACGGGTTCCGAAAAAAAGCTCCATGATGTGAAATACCTTCCTAAGGGCCTTCGCAACACCGACAGGCATGATGCCGAGGAATTGCTGAGCACCCTCCATTCTCGTCCCTTTTCTTATTCCTCTCTCAGTTCCAAGTCGCTTTAGTACAAAATTTCTCAGCCTTTAGGTTTTGATTGTCCAAGAAGTCTGAGTCAGAGTGACGATAGAAGGAGACTGTTTCTCGACTTTCATAATGAACTTCGTCGGAAGATAGCTCTTGGAAGGCAACCAAACAACCGAGGATTTCTCGGACCAGCCAGAAACATGTACGAATTGGTAGGTGGATAAGCACCTATTTCTAACAATGCAATGAGAGAAAATAGTCAAATTTCGTGGAACCTACCTAGTGTGGCTCAATCTGATGTCCGCGCAAGGGGCTTGCTCGCTCGATCGAATCTATTGGGTTGGCCCATAAGTAATGGCGTTTTTTTCTCACGCAAATTTTTATATGGAAAATGATAATTTTTCCCAATATGTTCTACACTGTTTGATAGATAATTTTCTGCTCTATAAGATAGTGTGGTTGCTTTCCTACTGTTTCTTGATTTTTGCCGATTTTTATTCCATTGAAATGAAAAGTCGAGTCGACCCAAAAGTGAGTTTTCGACAACAGCTTTTTGCAGTTTATCTCGGCTCTCAGATCACAGAAGAAGCTCAAAACTTGTGACATATATGGCCAAGGAGTGACGCTTCTTATGACAGCTTGAATTGGTTCGAGTGATCAAGAGGTGGCAATTCGGACCTTGTAAATGTGCATCGCATGGGGCGCCCCCTTGGGGAGCGACTGACTAAATTGGTTCGTACCAATACCCCCTAACTTTTGAACGTCTAACATCAACTAAGGGTGGTGCTTGATAATGATAAGGAAGAATTCCATGACCTCTAACGATTCCTCAATCTTTGGCATGAATCTCCGTGAATAAGGTAATTCAGTAAGCTTCAGTTGGATTCAATAGGGCATTAGGTTCGATGCTTGTCTATGAGGTCAAAATTGAAATCTTCGAATCGGGTAAAACATTGTAAGCATTCCTAAGAGACGTAGCCTCATGGCCATATACTTAGCAACTGGCGCTTGTGTGGTTTTAGCTTTTAAAATAGAGGTGAGGTAGGGAGGAAAATGCTCACTTTCGTTGACCTGACACTCCAGTTTGAGCACTTAAATATTAGTGGAAAGAGAAACTTCAAAAAAACTAAGAGGACTATTGTATAGGGCGAGGAATTCTCTGCAAACAGTATAGAACTCAATGGCAAAACTTTTAATCTTTAGCGAAATATTTTGAGTGAGAAAAAACGCCATTACTTATGGGCCGACCCAATAGTTGAGGTGGTGATGGGATGAAACTGTTGAGCTACGAGCGTCCGACAATATGGCTCGGTGTTCTCTAGAAAATGAACAAGCAGGGTCCGAGTATAGTAATCACGAATAAATTTCTGTACAGGAAAGCGGCCCCTCTCATCAAGCTGTGGAAAAATGGAATTGGTCTTTAACCTAGAGTTTCATACCCCACTCACATATTATCCTTTAATAAGACCGTCAGAACTCCCTTTTGTTAACTTTCCTAGAATCTCTGATTTTCATGGGCATGAGGGCAGGGAGGGTGTGGTTTTTGCGAAATGGACGCTAAAGTAACACAAATCAGCAAAAATTTGTGAAAAATTTCGAGGACCCCAGCAGATAAATACCCCCTGCTGTGACTCCTACAACTGATGGTGTGCGTTCCCAACAGCAATATTTAAGTGACGGGATTAGAGTCGATTGTGCTCGATCTGAATTAATGAATCAGTCGAAAAGTAACTTCTCAGACATGGAGTTGTAGTTTGGAACAAATAGCAGCGGATCAGATCTCATCGTGCACTCTTTCTCCACGATCCGATTTCGCTCAAAACAATATCAAGTGGGTTTCACCTTGACTCCTTTCTTTTTTTTGCTATAAAAAGCAAAAAATACCAGAGTGACACATATCAAATATCGAGAGGTCGCTGTTTTGCTACTCGCTCTGAAGTTTTGGGCAAATCAAGTGAAATTATTTGGAGTGGATACCTCAAACAACGGTTTCAAGTACACGATTGAAGCCTTTGCTAATGTGAGTGCTTCGACTGCTCTACAGATTGAGCTTTGGAAATGACTTTGAACGCTTGCAGATGGCTAATTCGAGAACTCTACAGCTCGGTTGTGCTTACAAACTCTGCGGTTCTTCCATGGTTGTGTCGTGTGTTTACAACAGCAAGTAAGTAGGTATTTTCTTTAAGAGGGTAATTTTCAGCGTTATCTTCAACCCACTCGCGATTCTGTGCAGCGCATGCATCTCTTGTTACCCTTACTTAGCGACGGCGTTCCTGAGACTTGCATGGCGGCAGGCTGCAATCCGGAAAACCAAACAATACGTACTAGAGAGATTGTAGTACCACTCGTTAACGTTGGCGCTTCTGGGGTAAGGCACTTTGCACGTCTAGCGACCAGCCCCTTTTCTGCATATTTCGAATTTCTCAAGAATTTTATCAGTATGCAAAGGATGAGTGCAAGTATTTTTGCAACGTGACGCTAAGATGCCAACGAGTCCATGGCCACAGTCTGATTCTTTGAAATAGTCAGCGTATGAAATTCGTGTTGAGGGCAGAACCGCATTCATGCTGTAAGCTTGCTAATTGTTCACCACAATGAAAAGCCCATCCCCGCCGCTCCAAGATATTTTTCATTGGAATAACTTTTTAAATGTTCACTTAGTGGAAAATCTGAGTAGTATGGACTTCACGCGGATCCGGTTCGCGCAACCAAATGCTTCGTCTCCCTCTCCGGTGGTGACTCTTATCATTGAGGTTGACCGGCAGTCAACTGGAATCCTTTCCAATCTTCCAGTAATGACATGAGCGAACAATGACTTTGAATGCATTCCTTGCAAGAGAAAAACAAACCGAAGACAAATTGCCGGTAAGACCATCAACAGCCGCCCGCTCAATCAACGCTCAGATAAAACCTTTGGCACCAGGCTGCGGGAAAGCTTTAACCTTGCCTAGAGACAAACTGAACACTCCCCTCCTTAAACCTGGTCCTCGCCACATGCGAGATGAATAGGAGCAGCTGCACTAGTGCGCCACGTTCGCCGTTCGCTAGGTTCTCCGGGCACCTTTCCCGCGAGACGTATAAAACCTTGGCCGGTGACGCAAGGTGTTACTGTTTTTGCCCTCCCCGTCTTTTCTAGAACTATGACGCAGACGAAATCGCAACAACCGTGACCCACGTTTTCTGTTTCAGTAAACTATCACCGGGGCAAGTAATGTGGAAGAAAGGGAGGAAATGCGAGTGCAACGCTCATGCAGGGTCGTCTTGCTCGAATAGCCTGTGTGTAATTCATTCACCGATGGGACCAGTGAGACAGCCGGTCATCACAATGTCAAGAAGGAAGCCAGCAGCAATGAGGCCAGTTTCCAATGGGAAATCAATACAGCTCAACCCTTATTCATGCTCAGCCAACAATGGAATGACAAATGAAATTCGACAGATATTTCTCGACAAGCACAATACCTACAGGTTACTTTTAGCAGCAGAGAAACTGTACCATTGCAATCGAACTTCCCTAGTTCAGATCGCTTGTTGCGAAAGGAGTGGCAAAGGATGCAACCGGTGGAAATGCTCCAAAGGCAGCAAGAATGCGCAAAATGGTATGACTTCACACATGTTACGTACTTTCCATGTCGCTTGATAAAAGGGGCGTTCCAGTGAGTGCTGCGTGTTTTCGAGCCGGCTCTTCTCTCACACGTCTCTTCCTCTTCGGTCATCGCTGCGCTCGCAGCCGCGCACTTAGAAATGCCCGCTTCTGCCCAAAAATATGCCATGATTACCACCGTGAATAACACTGTTTTGATATTGAGGTTTACGACTGTCAAATCGAGCAAAGTGCAGTGAGGAACGCCAGAAAATGCGTATATGGGCATTCTAGAGGTCTTGAAAGAAGTGGTCTCGGTGAGAATCTCTGGATGAATTCTACAAGACGAATGGATAAGGCCTATGCAGCGAAAATGGTAAGGGAAGCAGCAGAGGTACCGTTCTAAAAGAAATGACAACTCCGCTCTAGATGTGCGATGGGTGGTTCAAGGAATTATCAAAGTCGGGTGTGGGACAGGCGAACGTGCTCACAGAAAGTCTTTTCTCTCGACAAGTTGGTCATTATACTCAGGTATGCATTGTAAGCGGTGAAATGATTTGCGGTCGACCATTAGAAAACTTCAGATGGTGTGGCAGAACAGTTACAAGCTTGGATGTGCGATAGAATGGTGTGGTGATATGACCTATGGGGTTTGTCAGTATGGTCCCAGGTGAGTAATAACATGTCTCAGAGATGAGAAAGGCGTGGCTGAATGTTTCATTTGAATGCTTTTGGTGAGATATTTCCGTTTGGGGACACACCCGGAGTAGAGTTATGGTTGTAGAGCGTTATCCCGAATTCCCGACATCTCGGCGCACGCACTTCCAGCGTAGCTACTCTGCTACACTAGAACAGGCAGATACTGGTAGTCGACTTGAGACCCAGAGAGAGTCGGTGCAGGTCACCGCGTTTGTAACGCCTGTTTTGTCGCGCACACTACCACTCGGAAGTAACTCCGCACTCGGGGCCACAGCACATTAAAACGGGAAAGATCGCAAGAAGTCGACAAACGAATTTTTTTCCGTTTTATAGAAGCGGGAGACAAGCGATTCCATTGTGAGCTAGTCAGCTCACATCGCCCACTTGGCGCGCGACGGGTCGCGCAGCAATTGGAGAGCTGCAGTACCATATCCGCGAGCTGTTGTTGGACCAAGGGATTTGCGTTAGCTCACGGCGTCCGCGACCAACATTCCGTTGGCAGACCGTTTCTATGATCCTTTTACAATTTGGTGGCGCCAGGCGCTAGCGCGACGACCTAGCAGTGCCCAGCTGTTGAACTGCCACATAGTTCCCCCTCTTCGTCAGATACGCCCGTACCGATCAAAGACCCCTGCATCCTAGCGTTCGTTGGGATTCTCCCAGCGATGCTGGACTCTGACTGTAACCATGTGTATGTCCAACATAAGACAGGATAACAGCTGTCTCAATGCAGGTGTCAAAAAATGTATAAAATGTATCTTGTGCGAAATGGGTTACGCGGCCACGCCCATCCCATCTTCGGGACATAGACTGTACTTTTGGAAGCATGGCGAAAGAGACAACCATCTTTACTGTGATTATCTTACAGCGGAAATTTCTTCAATGAACTGATCTATGAAAAAGGAGAACCGTGCAGAATGAATGGTGATTGCAAATGCCAAAACTGCATATGCAGCAGGAGTGAAGCGCTATGTGTCATTGCATGAGAACTTCACTTTCTCTACAGAAACAACAAAAATTCCTGCCATTCCCAAAATTTTCGATGTCTGTTATTACGATTTGAGAGTATAAAGTATTCACATCAAAGTGCTGTTGATTGCTGAAGCAGCGCACTTACATGGGGAAATCTGACTGTTGTGACTGACTTCAAGGGCTTCAGAGCGTTTACCAGTATTAAATTTATCAGGCACTAGTGAGGATGGAAAGACTTTCCTGCCTAAAAGCGGATCTGACTCAATCCATCGACAAAAGTTCAACTTGACGGATAGCATGCTCTGCGGAAGACTGCCCAAGTTCAAAAAATCTTTAATTTATTTATGAATTAGATCACAACTTGAAGGAA